CCTTAGTACCTAAAGTAGTACGTTGTGAGAAGTAGATCTGATCGTACTGGCCAATAACATCAACAGCAGCTCTCTGTGAACGCTGATTCGTAAGATCAGATTGATAACACAATAAACACCGGTAAACCCTCTAACCCCAAAGGTCATCAAAGTTACCGTACTAGCCGACCGTTGATACTGTGACATAGGTAGTTGCCGGTGTTGCAGAATAAAACGTGATAGTAGAGGATCTTGGTGAACATGTGAATCAAGTCTTGCGGGTGGTACTAACTTGAACCCTTATTGCAAAGGAGGAATTTGGATTCCAAGGCCAACTTAAATACGCAAAGTTTTCCGAAGCGCGTCTTAATACCTACCTACTGACATAGATGCTCTGTTTGTGTTTTTTTTTGTTGATGCAGTAGCCCGGATGTGAGACGCGTTTAGAGGACCCATCAAAACAATACGAAACATTGGAGCCATGAATGGATCCATAACTCTAGCCGTTATACGAGAGACTGAGGTGGGCATCGAAGTGTTAAGTAATCGATATCACAAAGATGGTGGCTTTGGAGATCTCCAACCTCGATGATGGGCGATGGAACGTAGATGATATAAGAGGTTTACCTCAAAAGTAACAATTACAAGGATCCAGCTGATGAAAGAATGAACTCGAGATTAAGCTTGGCAGTGTGTTTGTTTATTTAGGTTAAGTTCCTATTTAAAACGGATGGATGGCGGGCATGACACCCCTGCGTGCTGGCGCATGCAGCCACTTAATGAAACAGGGGTGTTCAATTGACCACGAGATGGTCCCCAGGATCGCTAATACCACTTGTTAATTGACTACGTGGGGCACCATGGTAACTGAGAAACAAGGGAATGGAAAAAGATTGATGAGACTACGTAATATGGGATTTTGTCTCTTTTACATCGCCCATAAGAGGACTAAAATGCAATCGGAAACATGTGCCCAACTGGTGTCTGAATGCATTCGCATGCATAATCTATGCAACGGGATGACTAGCTGCATATCGACCAGAAAGGTTGCTTGAAGAAAAACTAACAGCGAACTTGCTTGCGTGGCTTTAATAGTTATGCTCTACCCTTCTTTTCCAAGTTCAAACGGGACAGAAAGAAATAGAGTTATACCTAGCATTTCACGCGTTGTGATTGTCCTGTAGCGCGCGTCTTTTTATGTTATTGCGGGGTGGTGCAAAAGGAAAGGGGAAACAGTGCTTCATATCCAGACTACTTAACGTAAGGGGACGAGTCAGATTTTCTCGCATCTGGCCGATAAACATTTGTTATGTATCTGGAATAAGACATGTTATATGAAAAGCTTAAATAATCAAGACACGATGAGACACGCTCTTGATACCGCGTTTTTTTGACACCTGGGCTATTAAAAAAAGACAAGGCGGGAAAGCTAATCTAAAAGAACATAATGTAGATCTAGAAAGGTCGGTAGGGGAGGTTGGTTTTTTGTTATTGCTGGGTTCTTGTCATCCATGTACGGTGCAGGTGGCCGCCAGCTGTTAGCATCTTAGGAGCCACACGCGGTGGATGGATACGTAAATTGACAGGGGTGCGCGTTTACCATACAAGGTTTACGCGGAGGCACAAGCGCCAAAAGCCTCCAAGACAAATGGGGTTTCCTTACAGAGTCCAGAGGGGACTCCACTCAAGGGCCTAGGTACGAAGGGACGACTTTCATCCTAGGCGGGCCGCCTCGTTTTAGCAGCACGCCTGCCAACATCAAGACAACCTCGTTTTTCTTCTTTCTCTTCTTCACTTGTCATCTTCATCATTATCTCAGAAAGCTTTCAGACCATCAGGTCTGATTTCGCTCCAATCTTGCAGGCTGATCTCTAAGTTGATATCTCCCGATTGTTGTTGTTTCTTCTCCAGAAGACGAACCTGGCGTCTCTCTGACCGGGCGGTAATGCGTCTGAATCCTCAATAAGGCCATCTCCATTACCCTCCTCTCTACCGCAATCATGGCCGACTCTACTAAAGCTCCTTCTTTCGCCGCTACGCCCGATAAACACGCTCCTCCGGCCCCGCGTTTTCACGACATCGCTGTCACACCCCAGAGTCTCCCTCCTCTCGCCGATGCATCAACCAATTCAGCCGTATCTGCAACTGATTCAGAGAAGCATCCCAAGGGGAAGAGGAAACGGACAACGTATGTTGATCTACCCTGCATTTCAATTCTGGCTGCAGCGACGTATTGGAAGGACTGAGCTAATTTTGAATTGATGGCGTTGTGCAGGGCGAAAGACAAAATGGTTCTGGAAGAAGCATACAGCAGTAACCCTAAGCCCGATAAACAGGCGCGCCTGGACATTGTCCAGCGCGTATCGTTAAGCGAGAAGGAAGTTCAGGTATGGCATTGATAACATTACATTTGCTGTTTGATCCTGTCATTGGCATGACGACCTACCACGCGTCTTCCCATGGGGTTTGAAATTACCAAACTAACATAATCCCCTCCAGATCTGGTTTCAAAATCGAAGACAGAATGACCGTAGGAAATCTCGCCCTCTGTCACCGGGAGAAGTTGCTGCTCTTCATCATGGAATTATGCATCCCTCAACTTTCGACCCAATTACACACACTACAACTCCAAGCAAACCCGAACGTCCATTTCCAGTGTCCGAAAGTTCTATATCTCGATTTGGAGATCCCATTTCTGTGCCCCCTCGACACTTCGACCGGACACCCTCCATGCCACGATATCACTCAGACCTTGTGAATAGCACTCCAATCACCCTTGGCCATGATAGTTTTCGCTACTATTCTGACGCCACTCCTAACCGCATCGATCCTACTCTTCCACACGAAGCTCGAGATGTATCCCATTCTTTGTCAAGCTCTATATCTAGTAATGTTGGCTACCTGTCCAACCGGTGGAATGCTGGAGCCACTTCATTCTCTACACCAGCTGCTTTTACCCGCAGCGGTGACGATTCATTCAGGTATGCCGCACACGATTATACTCGGTGTGCCTTCACTAATCAAAGTAGATTTGATACGTTCCCTCCGTCCTCATGCGCTTCTGATCGTGTCATTGCCACCCCTCTCTCCCAAAGCCAGCCCAAGGTTCACCTTTCTACATCCTTAGACGGAAAGGCAGAGTTAGTCTCCAACCAAGGCTCTCCTTCACGTGAATTACCCCCTCGACCATCCTCCACAACGCCATACTTGCCTGAGGAGCGACAGCGTGGTCTGCAACGAGGCCTGCAACGTAGTAGCAGCGCTGTTACTCTCCCTCCCCTGTCGGAACTCACTAGCAGTTTACCTCCTAGTCTTGTGCGAGGTCGGTCTCGTGATGTGCATGCCTGGGAAAAATGTGCGGACGCTGAGAATCGTGATGAGCTGACAGCGCAGGCCGAGTACGAGTCGAACGGATCGGCGGCTGCAGCTATTAACATTCTTCGTTCCACGAGCGGGATTCTTCAACCAAGTAACGCCAAACGCAACGCTCCCATGACAAGGCCCCAACGACCTCACCAGGCAAAGAAGGCAAAGCTGGATCCTACTGGGTCAAGTATTTCACGACTAGACGCGGACTTGGACGAAAGGGAAAAGGCTGACAGGGAGCATGGCAAGGTGAAGGTTTCGATGTTGGTCTCTCCGACAGGTGGTGACTCGGATAAGGAGAACTTGAGCCCTGACGAGGAGACCAGTTCGCCAGATCCTTACCACCGTCGACCTCTGCCACCTGCCCCCAAATATGTCGGCGATAATCCTCGACGAGTTGGCCGAGCCCTGCAGGAGCAAAAGAGCCCAAACCTTCTCGCAAACCGTGCAAACATGGCGCCCACACGACCACGTTCCATCGTCAAGGAAGGATTGGAGATTTTCCAGGACAGAATGAAACCAGTGCTGTCTTCCAGGGAACAAGATATGGTTCGAGGTTCCATCAGTCCTAGTAAAAAGCCCGATATGGACTGCGTGGCAGGTCTTCTTTCTCTCAGCCAAGGAGCTTGGAGGTGAACAGAGAATAAAAGAAAAAGCTCTATCTGTAGATGACAGGGAATGGAATTCCGGGAAAGAGCGAAATGACCTTGACATAGCCTAGGTTGACTATTATCGTTTCCTCTTCCGTGGCAGATAAGGAATCACTTTCTTGCTTGGCTCACACGAGTCTGGTTCTCGATGTTTACAGCTGTATAATGTTCGGTTAAGTCCTGATTCATGGCGGTACGGGATTTGGGATTTGGGATAGAGTTCGGCGCCTGGAATTTGTGCTTGTAAATATCTTCGTATTCACATACTGTTACTTCATGTGACGGAGAACGGAGCTAGTCACTTGGCTTCCTGGATGGAAGAAGAATTGACAATAAGAGACTGTCTCACAGGACCATCAAGGAAAGATTCAGTTTGCCACTTGAAATGATGTTCAATGATGACCAGTAAAGAATGATATTGTAAGAGCCCTTGTGCAAAACCCGTGATTACAGAAGAAAGGACAGTCGTCGCTCATGGATAACTCAAGCAGATAAGCATATTCAGAAGTCTATCGAAATTGAAGTAGCAACCTGGATTTGCTCGATATTCCTACGAAATATATTCATATTAAATTCTTATGACCGTCTCAAGGCACTCGAGACTATTGCTTATATTACTCCCCGAGGCATCATAGGAATTCGTGTCAGCCAATCTCATAATGTCCTTCTTTCGTTGCTTCAAAGTTGAAGGGGCACTAGGCGTTGAGTGAGTTTTCGAGATTACGCTTATCCCTTGACGGGTATCTTGCTGTTGAGCTATGTGGCTACATATCGTGTATTGTCTTGACCAGATCATAATTTGTCTTACATCTAAATGTCTAAATATTTCCCACTATAGTTCCAAAATCATACCACTTTGCCATTGCGCTTATATCAAAATGAAGAAAAAGCTGATCTATATCATTGTACCCAGATCATCTGAAATGACAGACAATAATTGTAACGCCGCCAACACCATGCCTAAAACCAGCTCTTATCCAAGGCCGCTGATGCCATACATTTTCCTCACATACCCAGAAGGCTCATTTGCCGACGGATGGGGCTGGCACTGACACTCCCATCTTCACTTGCGTAGCATGCACTGTCGGTGTCAATGTCCCAGCCGATATCGTCATCATCGTTGCAACTATCTCCGGTGTCGGCATCGAATGGCTTCTGTGCGGAAGCTCTAACGTTCCAGCGAAGAGTACGGCTCACGCTGTCAAACCACTCTGTATCGGTGCGTGTCACAGTAGGGAAGGGGTACTGAGAGGCAGTGATTGTGACGTGGTCACCTTGTCGCAGCTCGAGTCGACCCTTGCCATCAAAAGCGCAATAGGCAGTGGCTCGAGAATTCCGAGGAACAACAACTCGAAGAGCCATGGTATCAGAAAGAACCATGGGTCGGAACGACAGGGTGTGAGGGCAGATAGGTGTAAGAAGGATGGCAGGAATGTCAGGGTGAACAAGAGCGCCACCGGCAGATAAAGAATATGCTGTAGAGCCAGTTGGGGTGGAGAAGATGCAACCATCTGCTTGTACAACAGTGAGGAGTTCATCATCACCATAGAGCTCCAGGTTGGACACATAGGGGGAAGGACCACGATCGATGACGAGTTCGTTAAGAACCTCGAATTGCTCAGGTTCTTCAAGCTTGGGTGCGTCCAAGGCACCGGCTCCACGGTTGCTGCGATGAACAGTACACGTGAAGCGCATGCGGAGGTTGATCTTCATGCCATCATCACCCATTACTCTGTTGAGATGTTCTTTATACTTCTCAAACTCAAATGTGGTCATGAAACCTAGACTTCCCAGACTGAATGAGAGCACAGGAGGTACAATGCGCTGGAAGAGCCATGAGGTGAAGAGGACGGTACCATCGCCACCAAGAGTCAAGACAAGATCGAACTTCTCAGGCTGACTCCAGCACAAATCGGGTGTCCAGTACTTGAGCATGTGCTGGAAGCGCGGGTTCTCGGCAAGGAGACCAGATGAGTCGAAACGTCGTGAGGTGCGAAGCTTAGCATCGACGTAGACGTTCACGCCGAGGTCGGAGCCATAACGTGGGGTTCGCAGAAGCCAGCCGGCAAGCTCGCGAGTAAGGTAGACGAGCTGGTTGTCGCGTGCCTTGGTGACAATCATGATGTTGCGGACTGCACGCTTGATGGGACGACGCTGAAGCTGCTTTGAAACCTCTCGGACACCAGTTGCAGTCGCGACAAGACGCGAATGTGACATGGAAACATCATTCTTGATTTCCTCGAGGACCTTGCCGATGTCGACAGCATCAGCAAATCGTTGATGGTAGAAACATGGCGACTGCAAAGTTGAGGCGAGAATGGTAGCGGCCATATCAGATGAAGTTGTGTCATTGCTAGAGGTGGAAGTGTAAGTCCGGGCGGTGTTGGGAGTGTTAATGGCGCCCGTGGTCAAGCGAGACTTGGCGAGGTCATTGAGGGCATCGGTTAGGCTTTGCGAAGGCGTGGCAGCAGCAGAGTTCTTGGAAACACTCGTGAAGCCAGGTAGAGGGCCAGCTGAAGAGGCTGGTGGAGAGTTAGACTCTGAAGGTTCCGTCTGGCGAAGAGAAGGCATGTTTGTGTGTGGGAGTGCGAGTGACAAAGCGTCGGGTTTGTTATGTCGGATCACCGAAGCCAAAGCCCTCGGGCCAGAATTAGACCGAAGTGCCTCTTTCTGAGTTGAAGAAGACGAAGCTGATTGATCTGCAGTTGACGAGGGTAATGGTGAAGCGGAAGATTGTGAAGAGGGTGAGTTCAATGAAGTTGTATCTTTTGGGGCAGATGACAAAGTAGAGGCTCCACAATCTTCCAGGAGAGCTTGAGGTTTTAAACGATCCGAGACTGACAACGACAAAGGGGATGGGGACAATGTTGAGAACACACTTGGCAGCTGAACTTCTAATTGTGTGGTCTGAACAGTGTCCGAGCTTGAACTTGTATCGGCGAGTGTGCTCCTCTTATTATGGACAGGTGAATGGGAAGAGCGAGCAGGAGACAAGCAATACCCGTTGTCTCGGGGGCTGCCAAGAGCTGGGTGGAGAGCCGTGGGAGACATTACGCCTGTCATACTTCCGTTGCTGCTGGCGGAGGAGGCTACCTAGGTAAGGTACTTGGGTCGGTAGACTTGGAGTGGAGGGGCAAAGGAATTGGTGGACGCGGCCCTGTAAGTGACCTGTAACGTGGAACGGATGGGGGATGTTAGACCAGGACCCTAAATAGGATAGAATCCCAAAATTAAATGGGGTCCAATGTGACGAGCACGCGATGTCTCTCGTTGTCTCTGTTTTTTATCGTGTGCTTTCCCACACAATACTTGATTATTCACCCGACTTTTGCTCAAGTGGACTTGATCACTGCTAAGTGAGTTTCTTGATGAATCCTGGCGGCGATAAGCAATAAGCTTGGCCGATGGGATTTCCGACACAGGTGAGCGGGCCGCGGAGACAAGCGGAGAAAAGCTTCGGAGTTGATAAGTGTGAATGACAATGCAATGCAGTACTTGTAACCGTATCAGGTACAGTACCGACCACGTTCCGACGATCGAATCTCAGCACACAAGGAGTGAACCCTCCAGGGGCTGGCCTGACAAAGCAAGATACAGATGACGTCGCAGTGCAATTCTGCTGTTACCTCTCGATTCCCCTGTGATCCCGCGGATGGAATACAAGGATATGCTGATAGAGCGCGATTGATGTACTGAATCAATCAGTCACCATTTACCCTGGATATCAAGATATTAATAGACTCTCGTCCAACAATCTCGCCTCGATGCAGCGCAGTGCGGCAGGGTTGTAGAATATCCAATTAGGAAAAACGGTAGCAGCCCACTCTTGGAAATCGAAAAATCGAGAAAATCGAAAAGTGATATCCGTAACCCCCGTGACGAGCTATCTTTCTGACCGTTGCCAAATCTCGTCGAGAACCCCAGCCTGTTGCGGGGATGAGACACCCACTCACGGAGATACGCCAGGGATGTCGATAGCTTCTTAAGACGCAAGAGCCGAGCCGAGCGGGAGGGACACACCGCTATTGGTGGTGCTTGTGATGAGAATCCTTAGTCGCAGCAATACAGTATGCACGTGGGTGATGTGAGCAGCTGGGATCAAGCACCAAGAGACTGGTTAGACTAGATCCTGAGGTTGTTGGTCGTGTTGTTGGTCGTGTTGTTGGTTGATCTTGTTGGTCGCAGTGTTCGGCTGCCGACTTTATGTGTTGCTCAAATTCAACGTCACCGCGGCGGCAGTTGACTCAAGGTTGAGGCTGGGAAAAGAACCTTCTTTTCCAATCCACAAAGTGCAACCGGAATTTCGGGAAGAAACAGCGAAGAGCCACACAAAGAAAAGAAGCAAGGCAAGGATTCCGGGATCTCTTTTGGCTGCAGTGCAGATGTAACACAACACTACGCGGCCGCCAGTCCAAAGCTGCAAGCCACAAATATGTGATGTAAGTTTTCAACGACCAGCGAAGAAGATAGGTTGTCGAGCAGATTCAGCCCTCAAAAATAGTATAAGAACCAACAGGTTAAATTACTTGGCGCCAATGGGAGGGATGTGACAAAGTAGACAGAGACGCAGCAAGCGACCAAGAATGTTGGTAACCAAGCGAAGGAATAAATAAAAAAAGAGGCCGTAAGCGAGAGGCGACGATGAAAAGTAAAGTGGGCGATTTTGCACGAGACTCACAGAGTCTTGTCGGCGAACGCGTGATTACAATCAATGTAAATAAAAGAACAAAATATGAGTGCTCGAAGGAGAGTGTTGAGACCGGCTACCGAACCCAAGAATTTGCTGTGTGCTCTAGCTGGGCTTTAATACTCTGACTTCATTTTCCTTGAGTGTGTTTTCGAATATCGCGAGCTATAAAACCTGCCTATATCCCCTGTGTTTTAGCTCCAGGGTCCCAGCTTTGGGGGAAAAGGAAAGGCTCCCGTCGTGGATAGTCCAGCCCCTTCCACTGGAGGGTCGACCCCGGTAACCCCTTTCTCAGCCTAGAACTCCTTGTCACAAAATCTTTTCCCTCGTCTAGCGCCTGTTGAGACGTCAATTGGAAACCATGTTGCAGTGTCTGACTCTCTGTACAGGGAGCCAACTATGTGGTTGTAAGCTAAGCGAATTAGCAAGTACTATGCTAGTGTCAACAAGGCAGGAGAAACAACAAATAATATGTATTCCTTAATCGATGTCAATAAATCATATCATGTAATTGTTAATGTTCTAGATCCTGAACAAATGGGTCTATAGCCTAGCCGCGGCTCAACTCAACCACTTAACTACGGAGTACACTTCTCTGTTATAACCGTGCGGGAAAGTGGAACAAACAGTTGTCAAGTGGGCACCGTCTTGCTTTTCAACGGTTCAATGGCAGATTTCCCCAGTTTGTTGATTCATTGTCTCAGTAGTGCCCAGTGCTCCCTCTCTCTCTATGCCTATAGTGGCTTAATCGTTTTGGATCCAACGATGATGCCATGTATGTAGTTTAGAAGAGTTTGGCATATGAACAACGGATATACAATGTTTGTCATCTTGATGTTCACATTCTAGTCCTTTTTCTTCTGTAGATCGTCAACCTCGGACCCCGAGCTTACTCGTTGTAACCTTAGTTGTGATAAACCTTTAGCGATTGTGACACCGGTATCAGTACTCGTGGCGCCAAGCTAGGTAACAGGATGTTTACCAAACATGTCGGTGAAATCTTGAAGGCGATAACCAATGTAACATCGTTGGGCAAAGGCGTGGCAATTCGTCTCAGCTTCTAAACTTCAACTCAGCTCTTGTTGAGCGTCCACAGATCTAGGCATGTACAGTCCGCAGGGGTATCAAATGTGCATTTCCGCGATTATTTAGGTATTTTTTGCTACAATAGAATTACAAATACTAATAAGATATCATATACTCAGTAGATCAATAGAGATAATTCTAGGCTAATCTATATCTATTTTACAGCAGATTAGCTACTAATTGAAGTACCAGATTTAACATTTGATACCCCTGGGGGCTGTACGTATTCGAAAACATTGCTAAATACCATGTTAGGTAATTGCAAGGGGATATCATATCTGACTGGACAGTTGTCATCTCAATGCAAACCCCAGTGTTTGTCACCCCCCTGTTAGAGAACATAAAAGCGCATCACGTCTTAGAGTATCAAGTTACGATAACCAACCAGCTACGGTAAAACACGATCGTGAAAATGTGAACTCGAAAATGTTGCGAAATCCAATGGCATCTTTGATCCTTCGTAAACAGATTCGACCCCCGAATCGGCCTGAGACCGCCCATACAATTTCTGATGCCGTGGTGAAACACACAACCAGGAACTTGTCCACTGAGGAGCCACCATATCCAGAGCTTACCCGATAGCAGCCCGGATCAGAAAATCCCGAGACTCTGCCAACTATACTTGGCGGTTTTAATACTAGTAAATTGGTCGTTTTGATCGTTGAGGGTTTGACCCTCTTTCTCAGGATTGAGGTTGGCCTCAAAGTGCGGTAAGCCTTCGCCACGTGCTGACGCTGAGATTTATCAGGTTGGTAAGCCAGCCGAGGCTGGGCGCCTAGACGAGAGTTTGATTATCATCTTGGCGGGAGAAGCATGTTGGAAATACCGAGCGTGGGATATCATGCACATGATTTGGTGTATCATTTCCAGTAGAGATCCTCCGCCACCTTCGCTTCCATGACAGAGCGGATGAACTGTCTCATGCTTCTTGACTCGTCATCGCCGGACATGGTTGTATCGAAACCAGGCTGTTGATGCTCGCAACATATACGTTGTCCAAGCTGAAGAACATTGGCCCATTCAGCGGGAGTGAAGGCGCCCTCGCTCTCCGACAAGAGCAACTCATTATGAGAAGTAAAACCGAGAACGTGAACTGACTTGGCATGATCAATATCAACAGCGCTTGGATCGACGATGATGGGCTTGCCCTCCTCTTCTGGAACAGCAAGAAGGGTCGCCACGCCAATACTCTTCAGAGGGATGGCAGCACTGAGGAGTCCCAGGATGGCAGAGTGCAGAAGTGCAGGAATGATAGGGAGATTCTGCAACGAGCATTAGCTTATCGGTACCACCAAAGTTTGACATTGAAGCCTACCAACTGTGCCTGGACCAGTTTTGCGTTGACGTAGGCATTCTCAGGTGTCTCCGCAACCTGAAGAGTGATCTGGATCACACACCGAGGATAGTCTCTCACAGGGATAAGTTGCCTAATCGCTGCCTGCATGATTGACTCAAGCTGTCTCTCACGGGTCCCTGTTGCAAAATGCATGAGGAATTGTTATTTCTGTAACAAGGGATGTGGGGGATCTCACCTCCAACGCCAGCGGCAGGACGGACAATGACGTCCACTAGAGCCTCGAAGGCATTCTCATCTCGTCTTTGGGCTTCTACGGGGCCGTTGACGGCGGCTATCACGGCATATCCCCCGTATGAGAACGTCACAGAGCCGTCGGCCTTGGCTAGGTGTGACAGCTCTGCTGCAGGTTCAGCTAAAGGAGCCATTGTTGTTGGTGTTGAGACGATTTAGTCGTTTAAGGCTGGAAATTTTCTGGTGTTTTTGGAGTTTAGCTCAGGCCTAGCGCACGGGATAAATGTTAATGAAGTGGCAGGCGACCTAAGGTTGGATTCTGAAAATATGTTTAAGAGAGGTAACACAGAGGAGGAAAAATGAATGAACGGAATTTAGCAAAAGAGTGAGTTCTCCAGAGTTTCCATGAGTTTGTTGGCTCAATATCGAAGTTATGGATTTCTTGATAGTGGGGCAGTTTATAAGCTACCCGCAGAGGTGGCTGCCAATCATGGGTCCACAACTCATGACATGCAGTCTTCACGATACACTCGATGAACCTCCATTCTACATCTACATCTACATCTGCCTATCAACAATAGATCGACTCTTATCAGCATGGAATCGCAAGCTTCTACCCAAACTGCGCCATTACAAGGCGAAGCATCATCAATACCAAATCTTAAAGACCGACTTCCGAAGCTCGAACCTCGAAAGCGACGCTCAGCTACCTCCAATCCTACTCCCATTCCCGAAACACCCGCCTTACCAACGCCACCCGATACGTCCGACTGGGCTTTCAAGACACCATCGCGAAGAATCTTATCCAAAAAGGATCATGATATCTTCTTGTCTTCACCAACATATAAGCTCATTACGGCCTGGGTATTTGGGCTAGCAGAGTCTGTGGTCGGCACTCCCAACTCTGCAGTTCGAGACGCCGACCTGAGCAGCCCTATCAAGGTCATAATACATATCCTCGATGAGACGGAGCAGCTTGTAGCTAAATCACCCCCGAATGAACAAGGTGGATCAAGATTTGGTAACAAGGCGTTCCGCGGCCTTCTCGAGCTTGCGCAAAGCAACAGTGCAGCTTGGCATCGAGATATCGGCGTCCAAGACGAGGGAGCTATCGCCGAGCTCTCCACATACTTCTGCCAGTCTTTCGGTAACGGAAACCGAATCGACTATGGATCTGGTCATGAGTTGAACTTCATGATTTGGCTCCTTTGCCTTTACCAGCTGGGTTTGTTAGAGCAACCCGACTTCAAACCCCTCGTTCTCCGTGTATTCGTGCGCTACCTTGAGGTGATGCGTGTCATCCAGATGACTTATTACCTTGAGCCTGCGGGATCACATGGAGTTTGGGGACTTGATGATTACCAGTTTCTCCCTTTTCTTTTCGGTGCCACACAGCTTTTGCACCACCCATACATTACCCCAAGAGCTATCCACCAAGACCTTACCCTTGAGGAGTTCGGTCACGACTACATGTATCTTGGTCAGGTCAGCTTCGTAAACAGCACAAAGACCGTCAAGGGTCTAAGATGGCACAGTCCCATGCTTGACGATATCTCATCGGCGAGATCGTGGACAAAGATTGATGGTGGCATGCGTCGCATGTTCGTTGCTGAAGTCTTGGGAAAGCTGCCCGTAATGCAGCATTTCCTCTTTGGATCTCTCGTGCCAGCAGCAGATGGCATGAGCGAAGACACAGGTACGGGTGAAGACGAGAATGCCGAAAATGATCCACATGAAGGCCACGACCACACTAGAAAGGCCCACGATGGCACAGGTTGGGGTGATTGCTGTGGTATCAAGGTTCCGAGTAGTATCGCTGCTGCCCAAGAGTTGAAGAAGAGGGGTGATGATCAGGGATTGCGAAGAATTCCATTCGACTAATGTCGCAACGCTAAATCAGCGATCAATACAGATTCACCGGGGTTATAGACTTGTACTTCGCACCGTGGTCTTATGACACTTTACACTCCGTATGAAAATAATGAATGGTGTCTTAATAGTCATTTGGCTTATATTCTAACTAGCCACTCAAGCTCCGTGGTTCAGAGTTCGTCACATGGAGTATTACAAAACGAATGGTTTGCAGTAAGAGAACCATGAGAGATCACGCGAGATCTAAGCTCTATTAAGTTCAGAATCTTAGGCCTATCCAAATTACCTTACTAAGAAATGTTGGCTGTAATCCATCGTACAAACAAAGTGGTCAAACTCTCTAGGACAAGTCACCAGTAAAGTTACAGCGAACTCAGTCGATTTTCTTTAGCGGATGCAAGATACTCCAAAACAATCTGAAAGGCTTAAAGAGGCCAAGGGAGTTAACAATATATAAACTCGACGAGGTTCAGGCTCTGGCAAAGGGTGCGGAAGCTCTTCATGACATTCTTCCCCAAGTGTGGAGAAAGACAAACATTGGATAAAAGACTCGAAGGTAACCAACTTATCAGGATTCAGAATAAACTGATTTGAGAGAGGAGGCCATCAAGCTTATAGACAAGTTCCTCAAGTCAAAGCTAAGCTCGAAGATAGACTGCGTCCAGATTTTAACGTTGTAGGGGTAAAGCACCAGAGGCAACCATGCTGGTTAGAGACTTCAGATGCTGTTAACAATACATTAGAACCTATTTCTAATTATGCTTGCCCAGATAGATAACCCAATCCTGCCTGGGGATTTTGTTCAATCTCTGATCAACGTGGCTGTTACTTTCGCTCACCATAGCGAAAGCAACACTCGTCGGTCGCTCTCTAAAAGCTGTCGGGGTCTAGGAACACAATGAAAAAGAGGCGTTAGAGAACCCACAACTTCATATGATAGGGAGAATTCAGTGGTTTCTTTATCGTTGCCTTTTCGCTTCCTGGTGCAAAGGTATTGGGTCTTCTGGCTGTTTTATGGGTGACCACTGGGCGATTATTGATTTCCACCATCGCACTTCGCGAGTGGCAAAGTTGACATCCAATCCTGATGAAGGGGGGCCCAGACCTCAGAACGCCCCCTAAATAGTCTCAACGGATCAAAGATTCATTAGAGACGTGAAAACTTTGGCTGGATGTTCCCGGCCCAGGATGATCGAGTGTAGAGAGAGAATCTGAGATCCATTGTAGAAGCGTGCCGCAAACTTTTAACCAAAAAGGAGACATTCAAAGGTATCATTCGGTGAATATTTGAGTGTTATCTTTTTGTTGTGCCGTCGATTTCTTCTCGGAAAAGAATATCAGCACTGATATCTCCCGAGGAAGCCAGTTTAAGCCCTATCATGGCAAGCCCAATAACAAACAGTCCGAGGTCGTGAATGTTCTATTACTCAACACTCTTCTTGCAACCAGGATAAAAGAGAGATACATATAGAGGAATGATATGAGATCTCTACGGAGTGACCCAGTATGTACAATTGCCTCTGGAAATAACAAGCTTCTTTATTCGACTCGAGTTTATCCAAAACTTGTCTATACGTAAGGCACTTGACTCTGTGGTCGAGAAGACAATGAATGACAGGTCTCGAAAGCTATCGTAAACGCAACAGGTCACACTCAATATGAAATTCGTTATGGATCTGATCTTTCCAATCAGTAGAATAGATGGCGGTGAAGATAGCCCTCGAAACTTACAGGCCCGGGACTCGTTCCTACAACACTTCGTATCTGAGATCTTCGAGATATATGATTGCCAGAGTACTCAAAGAGTTCCATCGCTCAAGTAATAGTCGGCGCCTACTAGGTATGTTGCACGTAATTATTCAGCAAGTTTCGAGCTGATCTACTATTGAGCTCCTGCTATTGCCAGTCAGCTTTCGATATCTCCTCATCCCCTTATGAGTTGCTCAAATTCTCTGAGTGAGGACAAATTACGTAGACTAACAATTGAATATATGCATACATACGGAAGAGCCACTGTCAGTTACTGGGGTCGAAAGGGATGCTCTCCTCTGACCGCGAAGAGATGGCAGGCTTGAAATGATCGCCTGGAGTTTTCGTGATCTCTTGAGCAAACCTTTAATGGGCGGAGGGACCATGCCCTGGTTTTAGGCTCTATCAATGTTTCAATCTAGATAATAGACTAGACGTGACTGTCCAAGAATATATCACGGTCAGCTTCCACTGCGGCTGGACTGACTGATAATAGATAAGGCTCTCATGGATATGTTGTGATTATCCCCCTTTCACCCATATTCCCCAGTCAGGCTCTTTCAGTTCTACTTTTGTCTATACGTGATATACTCTGTAGTCCCATTAACTTCTTTGGAGCTTCCAAAGTCCCATAGTTGATTCATTGTTCTTCGCTATCATTTGTCCTGGTAATATTGCCCGTATGTTTCAAGCACGAACAGGGATAACGGGTAGCAATCGAAGGAGGTGGTTTCAAATGGCAGTCATATTCCCAAGAGAACCTTCAACGCTGGCACCAGTAAGAACTCAAATGGCATGAAGAGAGGTATTAAGAAGTTTTGTTCATTTGTACTGTCATAGTGGGTTTGGGCTGACTGAACATCTCATTGCTTTCCCTAACCATAACGCATCAAGCATCAAGTATAGTTCATCTACACATTGCCTATCAATGGCTTCTAGATGACAAACTATTACCGAACCTTACGTGAGGCGTACTAACATTTCCTTCGTTGGTTCTATAACCACATTCCTCAAAATTGGTGCCGGTGTACAAAAGCGACCTGGCAATATCAATCGTGACGCCCATTCATGATTGTAACGTGTAACGAAAATCGACAAGTGACCGCCCGTTGTGGTATCTTGAATCAAACAAATAAACGCAAAAGTTGCAATAAAATCGTAGCGAAGCATGACCTGCTCGCATAAAAGACAAATGAAATGAAGTCGTGTAAACATATCTCGTTGTGGTGAAGTTTGTAAGGATGAGACCTGATGTTAGCCTCACAGACGCCCATTTCGCTGGGATGGCATTGGGCCTGTCTCTTCTGATTGGTAGCAACGCGATTGAGGCTCTCGGAGTCTATTCGTTACATGGATGTCCACGAGCATTTCGACAAGCGCCTCCGCATCCTTGTGAACGTTGACAAGATCGGCAGGGCCAGAAGAAATCCCAAGTAGGCTACCGTCAGCTCGCGGTTTTCGATATGCCGCGAAAATGATTCCACGGTCAGTGTTCATAGATTGAACAGAGGATGTTGAAGAAGAAGAGTTTCTCGAGATGACAGAGCCCCCTCTTGAACACTCGCCAGTGTAG